TATTTTAATATGTTTCTTTTGTAATCCAGAACCTTTAGGGAGAAGTTGTTTTGATTTAGATTAGTTGTTTTTATTATACTATAGCCAGTAATTCATGTTTAAATTTCCACCTGGTAGTCTAAGTTCCATGAAGGTAAGGACCATGTTTGTCTTCATCACTTTGTTTTCATTGCCTGATACATAGGATGTAACGTTTATGCAGTGAGTGTCTATGGAATAAATGCATGAATTCTGGGTTCTCAAGTTGAAGAACTGCATAGTTCCCTAAAGACTGGAATTTTAAAATCCTAACATGATAAAAGTTAAGTCATATATATCAAATACTAACTAGTAAAAACAGAACAAACTTTTATAGAGCTGTTTTCTTAGCATACCGTCTGATTTTCTTATAATTGCATTCAAGTTAGGGGGAATACCATGGTAGAGATTTTTCTGAAACAGTTTTCTTGCAAGGAAACAGATATTTAGATACAGTATGTTGAAACTGGGGGCAGGCCTGGTTGCAGGTATTATCACGTTACAGATTTTGTGTTATTATGATAATTAAAGAAACCAGCTATTGAGTTATTTCTCTCAGGCTGGATTCTTCATTGACAAGAAATGGAAGTTACTAGTGAAGTTCTGTGGCATCATCTCCACAACACTATTTGTTGGCCTCTAGTGTGGGCAGGTCTCTTAACAAACAGGTAACTGAGTAAAAGAATTATAATGGATCACACCTACCTAAGTTGTATTTGATCTAGTTGAACTCTGTTACTTACTCCTTCAATCTAGGGGCTTTTAGCTGCCTATTCATTGTTTTGAGTTCCTATGTTAATGAAGCTGTAGTGAAAGGCCGCTTGTAAAATAGGTCTTTATTTTAGCATTAGTAGTGTCCAGTACATCCAAACCTATTTATTGGTCTTCTTATTGCCAATGAATGTAGCCAATAACCACAAGGTAAACAAATGAAACTGGAATTTAAGTTGCTGAATTTTATGAAGTTTTGAAAGTTGTCAGAATCAAAATGCAATCATTAATGTTAAAAACAACAACAACAACAAAAAACTCTAGAGCCAGGAAAGGCCATGAAAAGAGGGTTCTCATGCTTGTTTGCTTGATAATAAAGACTATCACAAAGGTTCTCCAAAAATCAACCTTGCGCAAAGTCCATTGTAACCTTATACAACAAATTCTTTCGCAAGGACATCTGCTCAGCAGCTGCCTATCTAACCCTGGACTGCTGTCACCCTTGTTTTTGATCTTTGTTGCCAAGGATAATTATTTGAAAACAATGATGTCGTCCTCATTCTTTTCTTAAAAACCTTTATATTCCTTTACCTTCCTGAATATGAGTAAACTATGATTATGCACATTGTTTACTCTGGCGTGAATAATTCCACTGCAATGCCCTATACCTAAATAAATATATTTTCTTTTAGAGAGCCTCTCTCGGTTATTTAAGCTGACAAAGTCAGTGAAAGTGATGCTTGAGAACTGCTCAAATAACAACAAAAGTTATTGTCGAATAAGAATCTGGCAGAGTTAAGTCAACTGAAAATTAAAAAGAGGGAAATTTATATGGATGTGTATAGTGCTTCAAGACAAAATTATGTAAATAATAACTGGCTAAGCCTGGCCTTTGGAAAAATTGAAGTCCTGAAAGATTTTTGCAAAAATTATCAAACCTGTGATCACATTCTTCAAGTCAGAAGTGAAATGAACATTATGCTGTCTCTTCCCCAAAAATCAACACCTGTAACTAAAGAAGGTCCCAAGGGCAATTCTTTTTATTATTATAAAATCTTTATTTTTTTCATGACTGAAAAGTAATGGCCAGGTGCAGAGACTCAGGCCTGTAATCCCAGCACTTTGAGAGGCCAAGGCAGGCAGATCAGGAGTTCAAGACCAGCCTGGCCAACATGGTGAAAACTCGTTTCTACTAAAAAACACAAAAATTAGCTGGACATGGTTGCGCACACCTGTAGTCCCAGCTACTAAGGAGGCTGAGGCAGGAGAACTACTTGAACCCGGGAGGCAGATATTTCAGTGAGCTGAGATAGCCTGCCACTGCACTTCAGTCTGGGCGACAGAGTGAGACTTCATCTCAAGCAAATAAATAAAAAAATAAAATAAAATACACTTGAGTCATTAAATTGAAATTGAATGAATGAGCTGTTTCATATTACTGTAGATACCTCCATTTTATTATCACTTCCAAAAAATGTATGTATTGCCACTTCTAAAAAACAAAATGTGTCAGTTTGGAAATCTTAAAAAATGAATAATGTCAACTTTTCCCAGTGTATTCTGCAGATCACTAATCTCAAGCAGTCATCTGTGAAAAAAAGGCATCTGCAGTGGTACAGGATGTTATCTGTTTCCCACACCCTGTTCTCTGTTCTGCTCTGTTTCCAAAAGGTTGATCTGTATAGACTGCAGGTCCCTTTGCCTTCTGCCTGGAGAGAGGGAACAGGGAGACTAGTAGGATATCAAAGGGGTTGCAGAAATGAGGCTGAATATTTCTTTGTGTTTTATTGGCCTCCACCTGAATTGCTGTTAGTTAGCTGTATCTTCCAACTAAGGTCACAGCTGCTTTGAGGAAGTCCTATCCATTTAGCTCTTCTCTTCAGTTCCAGTAACTGGTCCCCCTGCCTTGCCTCTTTAGACTGAGAGGCGGCAACAGCATCGCAACATCTCAGTTGGCTTCCCTTTATTAAATGCTTCTTTTGCCAGGAGCAGTGGCCCATGCCTGTAATCCCAGCACTTAGGGAGGCTGAGACTATGGGGTTTTCTAGATATAGGATCATGTCATCTGCAAAGAGAGACAGTTTGATTTTCTTTCTATTTGAATAGGTGTTATTTCTTCTCTTGCCTGTTTGCCCTGGCCAGAACTTCCAATACTATGTTGAATAGGAGTGGTGAGAGAGGGCATCCTTGTCTTGTGCTTGTTTTCAAGGGGAATGCTTCTGGATTTGCCCATTCAGTATGATATTGAAATAAATGGTTCTTACTATTTTGTGCTATGTTCCATCAGTACCTAGTTTATTGAGAGTTTTTAAACATGATGGGATATTGAATTTTATCCAAGGCCCTTTCTGCATCTTTTGAGATAATCATGTGATTTTTGTTTAGTTGTTTTTATATGATGCATTATAATACGTTTATTGATTTGCATATGTTAAACCAGCTTTGCATCCCAGAGATAAAACCAACTAGATCGTGGAGGATAAACTAAACTTTTTGATGTGCTGCTGGATTCAGTTTGCTAGTATTTTTTTGAGGATTTTTGCATCAATGCTCATCAGGAATAGCGGCCTGAAGTATTTTGTTCTTGTATCTCTAGTAAATGCTTCTTAACCACTGTGAGTGAGCAGTCTGTTTTCTTCTAAGACACTGACTTATGCAATGGCTAAATACAATATTCTTCTCTTGGAAAGATTAAAAATTGACACCAGCATATTAAAGGTTCTAATATTGCAATAAATAATGTCTAAGGTTAGCCCATTTCTCTAACATACCTAAGACCGTCCCTTGAAAACATTTGATTATAAAATTCCTTGCCTTAAAAACCACAAAACCAAACTTGGCCGAGTGCAGTGGCTCACTCCTGTAATTCTAGCACTTTGGGAGGCCGAGGCAGGCGGATCACTTGAGCTCAGGAGTTTGAGGTCAGCCTGGGCAACATGGCAAAACCCTGTTTCTACTTAAAAATACAAAAGTTAGCCAGGTGTGGTGGTGCATGCTTGTAGTCCCAGCTACTCAGTAAGCTGAGGTAGAAGAATCACTTGAACCCAGAAGGTTGAGGCTGCAGTGAGCCAAGATTGTACCACTGCACTCAAACCTGGGTGCCAAGTGAGACCCTGTCTCAAAAAAAAAAAAAAAAAAAAAGGAAATGCAGCTAGCACTAAACACACACACACACACACACACGATAACTATGGGCAATCATTATAAGCATCTAATTGTTCTGTGCAATGTGTGAAATATTGATGTCCTTATCTATAAGCTTAAAGCTGTTAGTCATAGCATTGACTTTTCCCGAATGGCCGTACTTTTTATATTGTATAGTTTTTATGATTCACATTTTCTCTTGGTATCAGGCTTACAAGTGTATCTTAATTGCTACCCTCATGCTTCTCAACTTTGGTGCCTGAACTTCCTAACATCTATTTTGGCTGCCTGGAAACTTTAACCTTTTATGTATGGCATTTCAGTTGTGTAGAAGTTGCTATGGATGTACTCTCCTAAATCCTCAGGTGGAAGTGATTAATTCTATGTAGTTCTGGCTCTTCAGCACATGATAAAACTGCTCTGAGTACAAGTGACATGTATGCTTTCTTAGTCAAGCATTTAATCACCAAGTGAGACACTAAATCTCTTTTTGCCTTGTGTCACGGCTAGCACCCTTCCAAAGAGTAGATGCTCCATTAGCTTGGGCCCTTATGATGGACATAAATCTTAAGAAAACTGTCTTTCGTTACTGAGACTTCAGGATTGTTTGTTCCTGCAGCATAATTTAGCCTATTCTGATTTACTTCAAATAAAGGTTCTTCTGCAAAGGTAGAAAAAGGGCTCAATTTAAATGAGTTCAAAACTCAGAATTGCTTTAATTAGTTATGTAAAAGTCCTGTATATTTATTTACATAACTGTGTGGTGTAGTGGACAGGCTCAAACACAGGTTTGAATCCCTGACTTCTACCACTTATTAGCTAGGAGGCTCAAATCCCTTACTATAAAATTGGGACAAGACTGTCGGAAGGGAATTAAATTATAAAAATTACCTGACAATAAAATGATTAATAAATGGTAGCTATCAATTTATTGTTACTTTGCAGAAAGTACATTAACTGGCTTCTCTGGCAATATACATAATTATAAAATCACCATCAATCCTTTCATTCATACCTTAACATATATAACTGGTTTAATTCATTGAAGGCAAATATAAATTTTCCCCTACTTTCCTTCCAACCATGTAGGCTGGTTACCCCCAAATGTAATTGAGAAACATTAAATGTCACTTTTAAACCAGTCTTTAATTTTCAATTCAGGTGTGAGGCACATATATACACACAAACATATTAATTTAAGGAAGCAAGAATGTAGAATATAAACATGTAAGGTAGACACTACTTCATGTATTTTGTTTAAAAGTTACTTTGAAATAACTTCATTGTTTACATGTAAAAGAAAAATATCCTTCATTTATACTTCCACTTCCTTTTGAAGTATTCTCAAATTATATTTCCTGAACTCTAATAGAAAACATTCTCTCTTAGTCATGGCAAGGGGTGGGGTACTCATGGGTGACCAAAATCTGGTGACACCATCTTTCATGTTCTCTGACATACTCTTAAATGCCCAGCAAACAGTAAATACTGACCAGATGATGATAACATGTAAAAAATAGATTTCTAGAGATTGAGATTCTTTAGCTAAGTTGAGGGACCACATCATTTTGAAGCACTCCAGAAGGGGGATGTGATTAAATGTGACTGCATGCCTGGGCTGGCTGCTTCTAGGTATGAAGCTGTGTTAAGGCATGGGAATAGGAGAGCAATGCCCTAGGGAAAGGAGGGCACCAGGGGAAACAATGGTTGCAGTGCACTGCAGAATGACCAACTCCACCTATTTCTAGAGTTTTCCTTCAACTGAAAAGAGATGGCATTTTCTTATGATTCAGTAACTGCATTACTTACATCAGCAACATTATGGTTTCTATAGACAAGCCTAGGCAACTAGTATCTATTTACATCATCCCATTAAGGGTATCCAAACCCAACTAACCAAATTTTGGACACCATCAGATAATTTCTTGCATTCAAGACTTAACTCATAACTCTGAATTCTTACTAGATATAAGGAATCTAAGATATATTATAGGCATTCCTATAATTAGCCATATTTACAAGATACAAAATATTTGGATAAAAAGCAAATTTCATCACATTGTATATTGTACAGATAAGGTTTATAAAGTAAATTTATTTTTAGCACCATATATACAATCCAACACTGCAAATTAATTTCTTTTCAAACTCAAAAGGTATTTTTCATTAATCATGATAGTACATCCTCTCTCTCAATAAACACAAATGCTGTTTTATGGGCTGTGTGGTAATAGTTTAACATTTAATAATTGGTTATATAAAATTATGTTCTCATCAAGACTAGGCTGTATTTCCTTAAAAAAACAGCTCAAGCTAACCAATAGCCAAAAATTTGTGATTATTATCACAAATAATCCAAGATTTAAATAACCATGGGTCTCCAGAGGCCCCCGTTCTTCCCTTTGCCCTCTCTAAATTTCAGGAATAGAATATATTAGGTGTTTAAATGGTATGAAGAGATGGCATTAGAAACACAAGGTGGAGTGCCACTTTTTACTTGAACTTTGAATCCTTTACATTTCTAACTGCTATTGAAAAAACATTAGACAAAGACATCTACCACTTTTAGATTAACATGAACTATCAAAGGAATTATTTTAGAACATTAAAGGAAACTTAACATTAAGCCTTCAATGTGCCAAATACTAATGTTTAAACTAATTTCAAAATCAATAAAATTATGTAATTATTAATTTGCAAAGGAGAAAACTGAGGCTCAGAAGTTGCACAAAACCATTAATTAGTGGAATTGAGCTTTAGAAATCTAGGCTGTCCTCTACTACACATGATTTCTCCTCAGTACACAATAAACTGGTTCAAAATTATCTAGATCTTTAAAATGTAATGGAAAGTGCTTTTAGTATTAAACCGTTTTCATGAATGACGCTAACAAATTTTGTCTAAAAGCTTACTAAAATGCTGACTTCATTTATAATCCTTCATTTGTAAAAAGATGAGGACACACTTTACATCAAATGGCATTAAGTGAAGTGCAATTCATTTTGTTTTCTACAAAACAAGTTAATTTTAAGCAAAACAATCTCAATGATGATAAATGCATTTCATTATTTATTTAGATGTTTAAGCTCTCGCACTAAGTTTTTACAAGCTGGTGAACACTGACAAATTATTTCTCCCACAGAACTATAACCACACATCCCCAGACAGTATAAATACATGGTTGAACTAACATTAATACACATCACCATTTTATCAATTACATAATAAAACAAATTATCAAGTATCCAAATATTAAGTTACACAGCTCAAAAGGCATATAAAATATTAGATGTCTGCTCAATTCATTAGCAGAAACCTAGTTCTGTTTTTGCAAGAGAGGCTTGGAAGGAAAAAAAATAATCACACTTTCAAACAAAAATAAGTTGGTAAACAACTTCTGATAAGTATGGAAAAAAAATTACGAGAATTTCAGGAAGTTTATGATTACAATAACAAAGCATCTCTACCTTTTAAAAAAATATTTTACTAAATTAAAGAGCATATTCTACATGTTCTGCACAAGACAAAGGCAACATTTTGCTAAAAATAATTAACAGCCCCCTCCCATTCTGTCTCAGGCCCTCCCTGTTAAGTTGCACCTCAGAGTGCAAACATTAAATTAACTGTAAGGCTTTTTTGTCTGAAGACATTAAAGACATGTGCTTCTGTACAATGTAGATTTTAAAAATGGAGGTTTTTTTATAACAGCACAAAGTGAGATTTATAGAAACACATTAAATAATCACTGTAAGACTTGGTTAAAAAAAAAAAATCAATGGTTAAGCAAACCTGATGTATACTGGTAAGAATGTGGGAGATGTAAACATAAAGCAGGCAGGCAAATAACCATGTAGGCCCTACTTTCAATGTCTGAAATGATTGCAGGAATAAACCACATAAGGTCTAGAGTGTTCATAGTTCCTGGGATTTAGTTCTGTATGGTACTAAAAATACGTTAAGTATTGTGCTGGGTATTTTGGCACCTAAATCTTCCTACATATGTATTGATAAGATTCTGGCATGGGAATAGATTGAAACAAGTCGTAATTCAATACTACATGATTTTGGGAATGGTCAATTGGTACAAATGACAGACACATTTTATATGCTGACAACAAGAATCTTTTGCCAAGTGTCCAAATAGGTTGACTGTAACCCAAACACAGAGGTTGCCAAATCTGTCTAGCTTGTAGCCTGGTAAAAATGCCTTTCAATACTCCTGTGGAAGCTTCATTAGACTTACTCACTAAGCCAACATGTTGGCTAATATGTATAACAAATTAGGTTGTATCTCAGATTCCACTTTCAATAGCGTTAGGCACCCCAGTTTTATTGAATGCAACAGTTGTTTCTATGACCGTTGGAATCTTTGAAGCGCAGCCGCATTTTAGGACGATACTTCTCCAAATACAAAAGTTGCTTGCTGTTAAAAGCTCCACGCCGCTTTCTGGGAGGAGAAAAAAATGGAAACAATTACAACAAAAGCCCCCTACAGTAATATTTAGTGTCTATGAACAACTATCACTTCTCTTGTGGCAATTTATCTTTTAATTAATTAGGCTGTGACCTGATACAGAAAGGAAGATGAACAGGCACATCAGTGCAAACAGAAAAATCATACAAAGTTAATTTTCTGTATCTTCTTTTGAGTACTGGTTACAATAGCCACAAATCCATTTATACGTAAGCCCAAGATAAGACAAAACTAATTTATAGTGATGAAGTCAGAAGTTGCCTCTGGTGGCAGGGAAGATGACTACAAAAGCCACAAAGGAATTTTCTAGAGCACTCAAAATATTCTATGCATTGTATTAGATGGTTAATTTTGCTGTTATTGTCAACTGGTCTCCTTTGGAGACCTGTGCATTTTATTGTTTCTTACTTAAACCTCAATAAAAATGCAAACTAATAAGCAACTTATTCAATAAAGTATTTAAAGCAAAACAGTAATTCAAAGAATCTTGCTGGATTAGAATCTTAGTAATGTGCGCATCTGCATGAAATGCAAAAAAGAATGTAAGATCTTGATATCCTGGTTTTAATACTATCTCAAAAAATAACCATAATGATTAGATGGACTATTACTATTACATAATTAGAGGCTATTACTTAAACTCACTGACATTCAACAAGGATATGAAAGAGTGCAAATGAAAAGATAATCCATTACTTACTGTCTTATGAATTGTACTGCATCTTCATACTTCATTCCGCCTTCAATTAATGCTAGGGCAACAAGTACTGGGGCTCTGGTAAGGTAAGAATTTTGATAAATAGTTTTTTCAAAACCAAATCCTGGCAAACTTTTATCTCCAAACATTCCCCAACCCAGAAGTATCATTATCTACCACCCTTCCTATTTAAGTAATTGATACTCATAACAAATGCTGACTTTATAGTAAAAAATTAGAAGATTTTTTCAAGTTTCAGTATTTTTTATATCAACCCACATTTTTACCTAGAATCAAACTAATAAATTCATTTACCTCCCAAGGCCTGCAACGCAATGAACAGCAATACAACAACCGGGTTCCTCACGAAACTTGATTTTTACAAGACTTAACCAGTCATCAACAATCTGGTTGGATGGTGGTGCCCCATCATCAAAAGGCCAATCCTAAGTCAAAAGAATAAACATTTTAGATCATTAAATAAATACTGTAGTAATAATTCTAAATTTCTAACATCCAAATGTTTTCAAAAGCATTCTCATTTTAATGTATAATCACATCTTATTAAACCTTTGTCCACCAAATGTGACTAAATGCTCAATCTTTACAAAAATGTTTTACAACTTCAAATCCTTGCTTAGCTTTTCACCTTTATTTATAAATTAAGACACTGCATAATAATTAAATTTCTTTTAGCTTTTTGAAGTCTATTTATGACTTAAATATTTATTTAAATTTACTAATTAAATAAACTTTTGTAACATAGCACCACAAACACATAGGAACTGTTAAATACTTACGAGAACACGGATACCTTCTTTCTCCACAAGAGTAGTGTCATAAGTTGCTTCACATACTCTTACTATTGTGGTAACTCCATACTTCTTAAGTTCCTGGATAAATACATTAAAAAAATCTTAATGAAGTCTTTATAACCACATCACATTATACAACATGTTCTATTCTGATCATCTCTGATCATTAAGTATGGTGGTGAACAGAAATCGTTTAAAGAATGATATGTTTAACACAGAAGCAAATTTTGTTTTAAATGACAATACTAGTTCTTTATAGTCATGGTAACACCGGACAGACTGGGATGAAACATTAACTAAAAGGGGCTAGCAGCAACGCAGAGAAAGGTAAATATAACTAAAGGAATCATTTATAAACTAATCAAGTAGTCTGATCTGACTCAATTATACTCATTCCTTAAACTTTTACCCATTTGAAGTACATAAAATGAAGCCTTAAAAGTGTAGTCTAGAATCCTGCCGGGCGAGGTGGCTCACGCCTGTAATCCCAGCACTTTGGGAGGACGAGATGGGCGGATCACCTGAGATCAGCGGTTCCAGACCAGCCTGACCAACATGGAGAAACCACGTCTCTTTAATTAAAAAAAAAAAAAAAAAATTCTAGAATCCTGAAAATACAGTTAAAAAGCCCACATACCACTTAAAACTACAAGCTTCAAAACGCATTATTGCTGATTACTACCTTTTTAAAACTACTAATTATTACTACTTATAACTCTCCTGACATTTCTAATATATGTATGTGATAATCAAAAATGAAAACACCATTATAGTATTTCCCGGCCTGGGCTCAGTGGGGTGGCTCACATCTGTAATCCCAGCACTTTGGAAGGCTGAGGCTGGCAGATCACTTGAGGTCAGGAGTTCAAGACCAGCCTGGCCAACATAGTGAAACCCTGTCTCTACTAAAAATACAAAAACTACCCAGACATGGTGGTAAGCCTGTAGTCCCAGCTACTCGGGAGGCTGAGGCTGGAGAATCACTTGAATCAGAAAGCAGAGGTTGCAGTGAGCTAACACCAGTGCACTCCAGCCTGGCAAAGTATTTCCCTATGTTCTGAGAGGCCTATTGGCTGTTTTTGCTGTTTCTTAACAACTGTTGATATTTAGAAAATAAAATATGTACACATCTGGGTATATTATTCAGCATTCCGTTCCTTTCTACTAGTAAAAAGAGGTAGGTAGAGGGTTTGGCTTCATAGCTACCATTAGGAGGGAACAGAATTAGTAGTTGAAAATTGGATTCTAAGCATCAAATGGGGTCCGAGAAAAATCAAGTTTGGTTTTATAGCATTTGTCATTAGGTTAAGCAGATATATTTTAAAAAATCCATAAATGGCAGTCTTTCCCATGTAAATTTCTTACAAGCTAAGTGAGAGCTCTACTGTTTTGCTGTCCACCTATCAATTTAAGCAACATAGTTCGGATGCATGAACTATTAACTCAAGCACACGCCCTTCTCAAAATGTATAAATATACCTATAACCTACAGAAGATACTGGTATTTATTTCTGGGAACTGTAATTGTAGCTACACCATTTCATATTCCAAAGTAGTATTTATTTTGTTAGCTATAAGCTACTATATTGCAATCAGCATAAGATATTAAAATGTATCAAATCTTACCTCTATAAATTTGTTTAAGGTCGCATTGGTTGGATTGTGTGTAATAAGAAATCTCATGTTCTTGTAGGTGACTTCCACGGGGGCTGGGCGGTTCATTCGAGCCATGTTAATTTAGTTAAAAAACACTCAATAGGGTTATGAAATAATTTAAAAAACTGAATACGGAAATGATGCAAAGAAACTGAAGTCTACTTCAATATACTCCACTTGAAATTCTCAGTGCTTTGAGTATGAAGTTGTTAAGTAATGATAAATGAAATGAACCTCCTAACAAGAAGCAGCAATTCTTCAATCCAGTAATACTGAGGCAACAGAAAAGAAGTGCACTGAGGTTTACCCCATCCAGGTCAGAACTCTTGTAAAATGCTCTGTGGATTTCAATTAAACACTTCTGTGTCCAGGATAACCACTCTTATGGGGGCTTCTTGGTGGAGTAGCAATCAATTTCTACAGTTCACTTGTCTGCATAGAGGTCGTGCTGTGCCTGGCAGTAATCTCCACTGCCCTTCAGAAACTCCATAAATGTGTGACCAAGAACACCACAGAATTGCTGTTTAAAAGAAAAAGAGGGAAAAAAAGACAGAAGTTACTTTCCAATTCAAAAGAAATATATTATTCTTTTACACTATTTAATTGCACAACTACCTTTCTAATAAAGCAGGGCCAGGGCCACTTTATCAACATTTACTTGAATCGCAAAACTCAAAGGGTGAATACAGATTAAATCATCAATGATCTATTATCAAGATTCTTAAAAAACAAAACAAAATAAAAAAAACCACCATTGTTACATTTTGTTGAAATTCATACATAATACATACACACTGATACAAAACTTCACAGATAACTCTGAAGTTACTAGTATTGCATGATTTACTTAACTCATAAACTGAAACATCTAAGTTCCTTTTCAAATTTTTGCTTTTATATCCTTTTCTTAGACTGATTTAAGTGCTTCTATATTTAGAATCTCATTTTATCCTTAACAATCTGTTATCATTCCCATTTAACTGAAGATGAGGAAAACGAGTCTGAAAATCAACTTGTTGTATGAAATATCATAAGAATGTATGCTTATGGATTTAAAGGAATTCCCGTTTATAACTATAAAGAAAATGTTCATAATTTTAATAATATTCTTTTATATTTTAAAACAAAAATTTCACATATACAACTCAAAACTGAAATCCAACTCAGAGAAGGGAGAGACAAAGGGAGGTTGAGGGAAGTGGTGGGTCTCAAAAGCAAGATAACTACTGCCACTAATAAATATATATTTACATTTTCTCTAAGTTCTCCCTTAAGAACTAAACCATTTTTATGCCAATAACAAACATTAAATGATACTTTCAAATATGTACATGGAAGACATTGATGTTAATAATTAGTCTTCTCTCAAATAGTTTATGAGGTATCTGTGTACTTGGGAGTAAATAGGGGACTAAGGAAAGTATTAATAACAGGTTAACAAGAGCACTAAGTCTCAGCCACTGCCTCAAGCGCTTCATGTGTACTCTCATTACCAAACAAAATGTCTTAACAAAAGGTCCCATTAGTTTCCATGCTTAAATTTAAGCATTTGAAAACTTAAAATTCCAACAATGTGCTCCCATTTTCACTTTAAATAGTCCCATGCTATTTTTTTAACTATAAACTATTTTTAGTTTCTAGAACTTCGCCAAATTTTGAAAAATAATTCTTATGGTGATCTGAGATCCCAGAAAACATCGTCAAAAACCCAGTCTACTTTTCTGGCAAAACACAGGACCTAGCATTAGCAGTCATTCATCAAAAGGTCCCATAAGGAAGGTGACTTTCATTATCACAAGTTTGTTCAAACAAGCCCTCACAGGTTACTTCACCTAGTTGGTCAGCTGGCTTAAAAAATTCGTGTCTAAATTACTATTAAAGACATCGCAGTGAATAGCGATTGTAGTAATCTTTCATTATACTTTCACCCCAAATTCTAAATACTACCTCCGTAGAATATAATAAGTGTATACTGACACTTACCCAATGACATACAATTATCTTTAAAAGCTTTTTAAATGACTCACCACAGTGTTCTAATTTCCAGGTACTAACTTTTTTCAATTAAAAGCTGATTTGAGACAGTATTTCACACCATTAATTCCATATTTAATAGCTAAAACTCCTGTTGGCTACAACCTAGTCTGGCCATATCCCTTCATATAAGAAAGCATCAGGAAGTAAAGAAAGCACTATATTAATTCCTTTCCTGAACAGGTTATTTTTACTGAGTGGAGCCACCCAGTGGCTGGGGGGACTCATCTGTTAAAATAAAGCAGTGGTGACCACTGATAGCTTTCTGTTATGCCCAAGACACTCCTCCATTCCCAATCTCCTACCCACAGGAGAAACTATCCATGACGGGAATTTTTTTTCTTCCCACCTATCAGTTGCATTATAATCACAATCATATACAAGGCGGAGAGAAGGAAAGAGCAATTTCTGTGGAGAAGCTTAAGTCACTACCATACTGCAGCGTCAAGTCAGCTAATGTGTATAAGTCCTTTGTCAAATAATTCATTGGACAGTCTGTTCCACATCTACTTAGGTCTTAGGCAAGGCACTTAAAGCATGTGTAAAATGTTGCTCACTCTTGGGAATGATGTATTTTCAACTGATTGAGAAACAGGAAGCACTGCCCCAGAATCTGGATGTCTAGCAGGTCAACGGTTCCAATCATAGTGTAAACAACAACTTAATACTCGGACTGGTAGGTCATTCCGTGGAAAGAAGATTAAAAAAAAAAAAAAACCCTCAGAATTCTGATTCTGGTTGGTTGCTGCTGCCACAACCCCACAGGAGGCAACAACATATTACACCAGAGTTCAGGAACAGTTTTAAGCAGTCCTCGATTAAAAGGCGCCATCCAGGGCCCTTCCAAAATTGGCAGGGAAAACGTATGCTGCTGCCCGGACGGGAAGTCCTATGCTTCAGTGTAACTAACAGTAGCCCTGGCAGTTTCTAAGACGCTACGACCTAGGCCATTTCTCGACGACTGGCCCAGAGAAAGGACAAGACTCGACTTGTTCCCATTATCCCGAGCCCGAGGTGGGGCGATAAATCCGGAACAGCTCGAATTACCAGGTGGAGCCTGTGAGGAGGGCGGGGCAGAGAGCCGGAGTTCTCATCTAGCAAAACCCCTCTTTGGCCCGGGCAGGTGTGCAGCTTGTGGAATGCCCTCGAGGGTCACCACCCGGTGCACGCGGCCGTGTGCTCCCGAGCCCGCCCGCTGCGCCCCCTCTCCGCGCCGCAATCACGGGTTCGCGCCGCGCCTTCATTCAGGCGCGGACGCCGAGGCCATTTTGTCTGTGGCTCGGTCCCTGCCGTCGAGCACAGGGGTGCGGCTGCACTCAGCGGGGAGCTCTGTGCTCCCGTTCAACTGGGGGCTCCGAGAAGCTCAGAGCCCAGATCGTTACCAACAGTGCCGGGCTGTCCCGTCTACCCCACGCCCGCCCGGATCTGGAGGCGAACCCGCCACCGCCTCGCCCTCCCCGTATCCGGCTCCGCAGTGACACGCGCAGCCCTCGCCCCACCCCGGGCCACGTCTCCCGCTCCCAGTGCAGCCACTCTCCTCCGGCCGAACAAAGAGGCCCCGGGACGCCGCGGAGCCTGCCGTGCCCGGACGGGGCGCGCCAGACCAATGGGCCAAGGGCGGAGACGGCGGTCACAAAGCGGCTTTTGTGTCATCCATCCGGCGCGCTGTGGAAGCCGAAACTACCCCCGGCCGCCGCACAGGACTGACCGCGCCGCCCCCGTTGCCCCGGGCTCGTGAGAGACTGAAAAGCCGGTGCCTCCGGCGGCCAACGGCCACGCAGTAGTCCTGAGGGGCCAGGCGTCTGCCTCCGCACAGCCGGCCGCAATCCGCCGGCCACAGGGCCGTAACCCGCCCGCTCCCACCGGGACCCACCGAAACCGCAACCCGGGGCAACCTGGAGCGGTCGCCGGGCTCCGAACAAAGGCGACAGCCCGGATGGGGGGGCCGGTCGTGGATTCCCAGCCCTAGAGGCGGCGGTGCGACGGCTACTCACAGGAATATGTTTACTCATTGAAGATTGTGGCCTAATCATACAGCCGGTCCCGAGGCGGCGGCGACACAAGTGGTGGCGGCGGCTGCAGGGCAGGAGGCGACGGTGGTCGTGGCGGAGCGGCGGCGGCAGCGATGCAGACGGCGGCGGGGGCACCAGACTCTACCATGCAGTGAGCGGCTCCGAGCAGAGCGCGTAGCCTAGCCGGCCCGCAGCCGAAGGAGCCAATACACGCGCCGAGGCGCCTTTGCGTCACAAGCCCTGCCCTTTATATCCAGTGCGACGTGCAACCCTGCAGCCACCAATCGCGGCCTGGAACTGCGGGCCAGGCGCCGACAGGCGGGGGCGGAGGCCCGCCCCCCCACGGACGTCACTCCGCGGCGGCCGCCACCGGTGTGAACCGGTTGATGAATGGCTAAGCGCCGAGCCGGAGCATCCCCGGGCGGGGGAGGGAAGGGGCTGCCAGGGGGACTCCGGGATACAGGAAGCCTGAGGTTAAGAAGGGGTGGGAGCTAAAGAGATTCCGCTCTATCGACTGGAGGGAATCTCTGCAAACCGCGTTTCGCCTAATTAAAACCATCCAGGAGTACACGCATGTCACATGAGGAGACCCGAAGTTTGCCTCAATCGTAAAATGCAGTCCCTGTAGGGCTGGACCTGCGTCTCAGTGTCGACCCTGCTTTCTAATGCCTTAACCACGGTCATCTTTGCCAGTGGTTTACCTTGGAACCTGAGCCTGGAGTACATTAGTACATTCGTCATCAAATAATATTTATGTCGCATGACCGCTGTACCCGGTGACTCAACACCTTGCCTGCCACGGCCTTAGGCTTGATCAAGATGAATTCTTGTCCCTGGGGGCGCTTCCAAGCGGGCAGAAACTTACCTTCGCAAAACTTATGCTATAGAAGATGGGGAGAGTATCATTTTATGCAGATGAAACCCTATGCTTCCTATATTATTTTTTTTTATCCCGCTTCCATACTACATACGCGTGCAACTGCAGTTGGCTCAACTGTGGCATTTCGAAATCACATGCATCCTTTGTACTGCTGTTCACTTGATATGTTGTCTCAGATAATGAAAGGTTAGGAAGTGCTTAAAGGAAGCGTTTTTAAAAATTAAGAATCTTCGGTTTTGTCAAGCACTGATGCAGTTCTTTGCGTCAAAGCTAAAGCTGTTCTTTATGTTCGTTTTCAGTCCTATTCCACTGACTTCATTATTTAAGACCCTAAGTAGTAAAGTCTTATCCCAGTTCTGTGCCATACAAGGTCAACTCTGTTACTTATAATCTGAAAACCCTTTCTCAGCTCTCGGGAAGGAGTAAACAGGACCTTTACCTGCTTTTGAAGAACTCAGTTTTCCACTAGCACTGAAGCCTTTTGTTTGCTATATTCACTGAGTGTGAGATTGGAGAGGGCTTTAGGGATCAAATTTTGTCCTCTTTCAGTACACTGCAGCATCTTAGGATTTGTTAGAACTTCTACTTAGAGACTCTAGTTGCATAGTTATTCAACTTTCCTATAAACTCTGTAAGTGAAGTAAGAACTTTCGAAAACAAAAACAAACAAAAATCTTGGGCCAGACTTTCAAAAGAACAAAAACAATTCATCTTCATTTTGAAGAAAATGGCACATATAGGAAACATTTGAATCCATTTAAATCAAGGAAAACTAGCACATTTGAGAAATCTGTCCCTTCACAAATAAATGATTTTAAAAACTAAAGACTTAAAAATCTTAAATTCTAAGAAAATATAAAAAGCTTTAAAAAAATCGTGGGGTGATAGGGGCAAAGCTAAGCAGTCTGGGGAACTCAAATCAAAAAAAAAAAGGACAGATTTCATCATATATAACAATTTAAAACTTTTATATGGCAAACAGTTTTGACAAATACCAGTTTCACACTGGGAGAAAATATTGATGATACTTCATGGGTAGGGTTAATATAAAAAGCTTGGCCAACATATATAATAGTGTAGTTTAAAAGCACATATTCAATCAGCAACTCTTGCTCCAAAAGTTGTTAAACACAGAGAATTGGAATGGTGAAACTTTTTCCTGTAATGACATTTCAAAAAATACATTTGGTGGGACAAGATATAAACTCAGCAAATGATTAACAGAGCCAAATCTGAGTTAGCCAATTTTCTTGTAGAACTTGTGATACAAGTTATGAGCCTTGTGATCCATAGATCCTGTAATTACCACAAGCAGTGCTGACATGAAGTATCCAGTCAGCTATGCTCAACAGGTTCTAAAAGCTCTCAAATTCTCAAGTGGCCGGAGGGTCTTAGCCTTTTAGACAAGGTGCCATCCTATCCAACTATGAAAAGAACATATTTCAAAGATGAAAAAATAGAGAAGGCTTTTGCTATTAAGAGAAGGGATGCATTTTATTTTACTTTATTTATTTATTTATTTGAGATGGAGTCTTACTCTGCTGCCCAGGTTGCAGTGTAGTGGTGTGATCTTGGCTCACTGCAACCTCACCCTCCAGGGTTCAAGTGATTCTCCTGCCTCAGCCTCCCAAGTAGCTGGGATTACAGGTGCCTGTCACTACACCTGGCTAATTTGTTTGTATTTTTAGTAGAGATGGGATTTCACCATGTTGACCAGGCTGGTTTTGAACTCCTGACCTCGAGTGATCTGCTGGCCTTGGCTTCCCAAAGGAAAGGACACATTTTAAAAAAGATATAAGTGTGGTCTTGCTGACCAGTCCACTACATGTTCCTGCTTCTTTGTCAGCTGCCATTGTGGTTCACTGCTATTCTGAGGGTGTCTGCTCTATTTAGTTTAATACCTTTAAGGTGCAGATTCTTGGAGAAGAGTAGAACATCGCACCATTGGTCAGGAGACTCCTGTGATTTGAGGACTCACTAACCCTTACAGACTTGCACTCAGAGCATTAGCACTTGTACTTACATAAAGCAGGTCTCTAACAGTCTTGAAAGCAGTGCTCCAGACACCAAGAAGTGAGAAAACACCTCTATAAGCCAATGCTTACTCTAAGCTCCCGAAGAAGCTCTAATATAGAGGATTTTCTCTTCTGCTAACCAAGATTCTCTGCTGGAAGTTATTTCTCTCAGCAAAACATGTGTTCTTGACCTCATCACAATAGGCAGACTTTCTATTGACAATTCAAAATATAAAAGCCAACAGTTGGAAAATAAGACTAGAAGACTATTATAAGGAGGCCAAGAATAGTACCTCATGTCTGTAATCCCAGCACTTTGGGAGGCCAAGGTGGGTGGATCACTTGAGATTAGGAGTGCAAGACCAGCCTGGTCAACATGGTAAAACCCCATCTCTATTAAAAAAAAATTAGCCTGGCATTGTGGTAGGCACCTGTAATCCCAGCTACTTGGAAGGCTGAGGGAGGAGAATCACTGGAAGGCCAGGAGGCTGAGGCTGCAGTGCGCTGAGATCGTGCCATTGCACTCCAGCCTGGGTGACAGAGCGAGACGCCATCTCAAAAAAAAAAAAAAAAAAAAAAAAAAGAGAATGTTATAAGGAATATTTTTATGGAAGGTGAAAGACTGCAGAAGGCAAGAGTGTCCAGGAAGACTGGCAAATCTTGATGAAGAAGAACACAGAAATCTTTACAAGAACAGCATATCTAGTAAACATTGATTCCGTTTATACTAAGTTTACAAAAGGAGTGAAGGATTTCATGATTTTCAATCTTAGATTGGTTGGGGCTAAGAGGAAGACTGATAAAAACATTTAATATAGCAAGAGGAATATATTGCAGGTATGGATTAAATGTGACAATACCAACGTAAAAAAAGACACTAGATTGCAAGGTATAACGACAGTGTAGCAAATATACTTAACAGAGGCAAACACCCCAATGGGCCATAATCTAGTAAGTATCTGGTTACCAGTGCAGAAGGTAAGCTTCCACCCCCATATTTAAGATGAGTCCTAAAAATTCAAGTATGCTGTGGCTCCTGTCAGCATTATTAAAATTTATTTCCCTTCTGCTGTTTTAGAACATTCTATTTCATATCCAGTTAATTTTATTATATGATTATTAATGTAAATATGCAGTATACAGGCATACCTTCATTTATTGTGCTTTGCAAATACTGAGTTTTTGTTTGTTTTACAAAATGATGGTTTGTGGCAGCTTTTTGTCAAGCAAGTCTATCAGTGCCAGTTTTTCAGATAGCATGTACTCACTTCATGTCTCTGTGGAACATCTCAGTAATTCTGCCAGTATTTTAAACTTTTAAATTATTATTACATCTGTATGGCAATTTGTGAACAGTGAGCTTTGATGTTATTATTGGCATTGTTTTGGGCCACCACAAACTGTACCCACTTATGATGGCAAACTTATTTGATAAATGTTGTATATATTTTGTTTCGCTGATCAGCATATTCTTCAGTGAGACACAGCAATACTGAAATTAGGACAATTAATAACCCTACAATGGCCTCTAAGTGTTCAAGTGAAAGGAAGAGTCATTTGTCTCACTTTAAATCAAAGCTAAAAATGGTTAAGCTGAGTAAGTTGAAAGCAGAGATAGGCTGAAAACTAGGCCTCAAACCCAAAACAGTCAAGTTGTAAATGCCAAGGAAAAGCTCTTGAAGGAAATTAAAAGTGCTACTCCAGTGAACACAGGAATTATAAGAAAGTGAAACAGGCTCATTGTTGATAAGGAGAAAGTTTTAGAGTTCTGTATAGAAAATCAAACCAGCCACAGCATTCCCTAAGGTCAAAGCCTAATCCAGAGCAAGGCTTTAACACTCTTCATTTTTATGAAGGCTGAGAGAGGTGAGGAAGTTGTAGAAGAAAAGGTTGAAGATAGCAGCAGTGGATTTATGAGGTTTAAGGCGAGAAGCCCTCTCTCTAACATAAAAATGAAAGGTAAAGCAGTAAGTGCTGATGGAGAAGCTGCAGCAAGTTATTCAGAAGATTTAGGCAAGAACATTGATGAAGATGGCTACACTAAACAACAGATTTTCAGTGTAGACAAGACAATCTTATATTGGAAGAAGACACTATCCAGGACTTTCATAGCTATAGAAGCTATTCCTTCAAAGCTTCAAAAGACAGGCAACTCTCTTGTTAGGTGCTGAGGTGGCTGGTGACTTTAAGTTGAAGCAAATGCTCATTTACCATTCTGAAAATCCTAGGATCATTAAAAATTATGCTAAATCTACTCTGCTGTGCTCTATGAATGGAAGAACAAAACCTGGTTGCCTCTTTAGCATGGCTCACTGAATATGTTAAGTCCACTGTTGAGACCTACTGATAAAACATGATTTATTTAAAAATATTATTGGTCATTGACAGTGCATGTGGTCACTGAAGGGCTGCAATGGAGATGTACAAGGAGATTAATGTTTACATGCATCTAACTACAGCATCCATTCTGCAACCTATGGATCAAGGAATAATTCTGACTTTCAGGTTTCAATATTTAAGAAATACATTTCATAAAGTTATAAGTTGCCACAGATGGTGATTCCTCTGATGGATCTGATCAAGGTAAACCAAAAACATTCTGGAAAGGATTCTAGATGCCATTAAGAACATTCATGGAAGGAGGTAAAAATATTAGTATAAATAGGAGTTTGAAAGTGAATTCCAACTCTCGTTGATGACCTTGAGGGATTCAAGACTTCAGAAGAGGAAATCACTACAGGTATGGTGGAAATAGCAAGATAATTTGAGTTAAAAGCAGAGTCTGAAGATGTGACTGAATTGCTGCAATCTTATAATCAAACTTGAATGAATAAGGAGTTCCTTCTTATGAAGTAGAAAAGAGTAGTTTCTTGAGATGGAATCTACTTCTGGTGAAGATGCCGTGAACATTTTTGAAATAATAAAGGATTTAGAATATCACATAAACTTAGCTGATAAAGCAGTGGGTGAGTTTAAGAGGACTGCCTACAACTGTGAAAGACATTCTCTTGTGTGTAAAATACTATCAAACAGCATTGCATGCTACGGAGAAATATTTTGTGAAAGGAAGAGTCATCAATGCAGCAAACTCCATTGTCTTATTTTAAGAAATTGCCACAGCCACCTTAACCTTTAGTAACTACCTCCTTGATCAGTCAGCTGCCATCATTGAGGCAGGATTCTCTACCAGCAAAGATTAGGACTTGGTGAAGGCTCAGATGATTGTTAGCATTTTTTAGCAGACATATTTTTTAATTAAGGTATTTTAGGGTACCTGTTTCCCCTACTTTCTTTCTGTGTCCCAACCAAAATCACAGTGACCCAACCAGCTGTAGCCATAGGTTTTCCTCAGCTAGCTTGAACCCAAACCAAGTCCTTGAACATTCCCAGGCACTGATAATAGTATCTAGGTTTACTGGAAAGAAACTGACCCTGACCCAGAGCTGAATTCCTTAAATTTTCATTTAAACTCCATCCCCTCACCCCCTGGCTACAGACTTACATGGGTAAAACATCCCTTTTATCTTGCTGTCCATCACAATGATATATTGCATGCAACACCCTGTAAGTTCCTTTAACAAATGTTTTGGACTGATCCTTCTGGCATTGAGAGCTTCTTTCTTTAGAATCT